CATAAGCAAAATAGTAGAGAATATATGCAAACAAGTAAATATAGAAAAAATATAAGCAGTGTAGAAATAACAAATTATATATGATTGATATCATACCTTTAAAATTGTTTCAAAGCAATCATCAAAATAAGCTTTAGGTACACCTGAAGGTCCAGACCACCTATCATAATCCATAGGAAATAACTTGCAATCAGCAGCCAATGTTCCAAGAAATCCAGCAAGCAAGGCTTGTGCTTCACCAATTGCTTGGCCTTGGTCATCAAAATCCACAACGATGCGTAACTCCCTAGGTAAGCTATTGACTCCCCTAACTTTCACCTTAATCTTCTTAACAGTGTCTTCAGAGTCTTAAAGAATAAAAAAACTTAATAATAAGAAAAGTTGATATAGTTTATATTATAATAATTATAAGTGAAAATACAATACTTATATACCTATTGCCTCAACAGTCCAACATTGTGTAGACTCACGCCCAACATGAAGTCTAGTAGTCTCATCTTCTTGTGGAGCTTCAGAAGTTGATACATCAGAAAGTGGGACATTAATAGTTGGGACTTCAGGAGCTGGTGAGGAATCACTTGGTGTGGAAAGAATTTCAGGATTCATTACTGGAACAGAATGTGTTGGAGCTTGTGTCAAAGGTGCATCACGTTGTGGTTGAGGTGCTGATTTTTGTGGATTTCTAAAACGCTTCAACTTTGGCATGACTACATCAAGAGAAAAATAAATACAAAACAGTTAAACTAAACATTATACACTATCAAAATTAAAACAAGTTTAAAATAATCAATAAATGAAATAATCACAACATTTACAAGTCAAATTATTACCTTTAAAGAAGTGCAAAAGTAAATAAATATAGTCAAACAAGTGTGAATTCTTGCTATTTTAGGAGTCAAACTTCAATCAACTATATTATCATTTAGATGGTTTGTAGCCAATTGTACATATTGATCATCAAGCCTAGAAAATTGTTCAAGCTCTTGCTCTTGGTATGGCTCATTTTCATATGCATTTTCTTCTACTTCTTCTCCCATGTCATATAAATCTCTTGGCTTCATATGTACAACAACGGTCCATCCTTTATTGACTACATCATCTACATAGTACACCATTTGTGCTTGAGATGCTTCAATGTATGGTTCATGTTCTTCACGGTCGCCGACATGAATCAATCTATCAACGTTAACACAATTAAAATTCCAACAATCCTTTTTATACCCTCTATCTCGTGTAGTATCAGCCCATTTACATTTAAAAAGGATAACACTGAATTGACCATAGTAGTTAATCTCAATGATATCTTCTAACTTCCCATAATATGGTAAGTCTGCTTGCCTTAAGTTGCCATCAACGCTACTTGAAACACATGATGTGTTAGATGTTAAAAAAACACCACTATTTTGTGTTTTTAATCCCTCTTCGTGAGCCAAGGTTCGAAATTTGAACCCATTAACGTTATATGCAGTAAATCTTCTTGCATTATCCAAAGGTCCTCGTGCTAGAAACTTTAGATCAGTAGACATTTCACTCATTGTGTCTGGATTCATAATCTAGAAAAATTGGAAGTCAAAGTTTAAAAACAGTATGGTAAAAAAAGATATCTAACCACTAAATGACTACTCACCCGCTTTCTAAACCAATCAACAAACTCTTTATTGACTTTCTTCTCTATCTCCGTAGACGAAGGACTTCTTCCTCTTGAACTCCTTTTTATGAATTGTCTAAATTCACTACATAAATAATTATTATAATCAATGCACATGGCTATAATATTTTAAGTAGACTAATAATAATAAGTTTATCTCATTTTACTCACTCTACAAATGGTGTGACTATTGTGCAATTGAGGAGCACATACCGATGAGCTTGCAATTTTTGCATTGGAGTTAAAGTGAACATTGAGCAAGCTCCTACTAGTTTTCCAATTTGTGGGAAGATAGAAGACATAAAAGAAGTCTCATTATCAATTGGATCATCACATACACGCTTAGGGTTATTGAACGTTGTCTCATTATCTTCAATGTACCGAGAACAAAAGGTAAGGGACTCTTCCGCTAAATACCCCTCAGCTATGGATCCTTCAGGGTGTGCCTTATTTCGCACAAAAGATTTTAAGTGACCTAATTCCCTACATAAATGATTAACAATTAGAGAGAACTAGTAAGATATTTGTAATATGACATCATAAATTCAAGCTATTAAAATGTTTACCTCTCCACTGGATACATATATCGATAATGCACTGGGCCTCCAAGTTTTGCTTCCTCTATGAGATGAACAGTTAAATGAACCATAACTGTGAAAAATGACGGAGGGAATAACATTTCTAAGTGGCATAGTGTAACCACAACGCGATCTTGGAGCAATTGAAGTTCTGAAATATTTAAGCCTTTACCACAAAGCATTCTAAAAAAAGAACAAAACTCCACTAAGACAGAAGTCACATGGTCTGGCAGCAAGTTACGAATTGCTAGTGGTAGTAATTGTTCCATAATAATATGGCAATCGTGACTTTTCAACCCAGATATTTTGTTAATTTTCTCGTCAATACATCTGGAAATGTTACTTGAAATGTTACTTGAGTAACCATCTGGTACTGTAATAGTCTTCAAAGTTTCCAAAAATAACTTTTTGGTATCGCGAGTCAGTGAAAACAAAGCAAGGTGATATCTTCCATTATCATCTGGCCAAAGATCATGCCTTAAGCCCATTTCTTTTAAATCTTTTCGAGCATTAAGGTTGTCTTTTGATTTATCCTTCTCATGGAGCAATGTATACATCACATTGTCACATACATTTTTCTCAATATGCATAAAATCTAGATTATGTCACAACAAATTAGACTCCCAATATGGAAGTTCAAAGAATATGCTTTTTTTATTCCACTGTGCAGGTTCTTGTCTAGATCTTTTTATTGTTCCATTTTGAATAGCTCCACTTCCAAATGTAATATTAATATGTTCCACTTGTCGAAAAATGTCAGATCCAGATAATTTTAATGGTGGGGTTCCTTCTTTTGTGTTTCCATTAAAACGAACACGATTCAATCTAAATTTATGATTTCTGCTTAGAAAACGACGATGACCCATAAAACACCATTTTTTACAATTTTTAAGGCGACAAGGTTCCGCATCAAAATTGCAAGTTGGGCAAGCCAATCCTATGTGTGTGTTCCAACCAGATAACATGCCTAAGCCAGGAAAGTCACTAATTGTCCACATAAGAGCTGCTCGCATTCTAAAATTTTCATTCAATGATGAGTCGTAGGTATCCACACCATTCCATAACTCACGTAACTCCTCTACAAGAGGCTGTAGGTACACATCTATGTTATTTCCAGGACCTTGCTTTCCCGGAATGATCATTGATAGGATGAATGAAGTGTGACTCATACATATCCAAGGTGGAAGATTATATCGAATTAAGAACACTGGCCAAATGCTATAGGAAGAACTCAAGGTCCTAGCAGGATTAAAGCCATCAGTAGCAAGGCCTAAGCGAACATTCCGAGGATCTGAAGAAAACTCAGGATGGATTAAATCAAAAGTCTTTCATGCCTCTCCATCTCTTGGATGCCTCATCAACCCATCTTTATTGTTTTCCAAAACATGCCATCTCATATCTTTTGCAGTCTTACAACATGTGAATAATCTTTGCAATCTTGCTTTTAATGGAAAGTAACGTAAAACCTTTGCAGCTAATTTTTTCTTCTTCTTGGGTTTCCATCTAGATATACCACGATGCTTACAAGCACCCAAACTTTTTTCATCATCTCCCAAATACAACATGCAGTGTTTTGGACAAGCATCAATTTTTTTATAGTTAAGACCAAGCTTGTTAATAATTTTCTTGGCCTCATAAACAGAAGGAGGAAACTTTGCTTCTTCAAATGCGTCTTTCAACAAATCCAATATCATAGTCATTGCCTTGTCACTTAATCCACACAAAACTTTTATATGATATAATTTGATTATAAATTCCAATTTTGTGTATTTGCTTCCTTCATACAATGTTTGACTCCCATCATTTAGAAGCTCATAAAAGCCATTATAATCCCCCCTTGACTCATCATTTAATATTTCATTTTCATTTAATGGTCGTGATGCACCTATATTTGAGGCATGTTGCCTGTATTGTTCAAATGCATCATTCATCATCATTTCCATTGGATTTTGAGGTTGAACACCACTATCTTGGAAAACATCTTCGATTTGAGAAGATTCCAATGCTTCCTTTTCACCATGGAGATCCCATATAACATAGTTTTGAGGAAATGGTTTATAAAGTAAGTGATCCTCAACTATGTCTCTAGTTTGCCATTTCATAAACCCACATTTTGGACACGAGCATCGAATTGTATCTCCTACAGCTCCATTCTTAAAAGCAAAATCTAAGAATTTATTCAAACCAATGGAGTAATCAATTGAATTTCGGGGCTTTGAAATCCATGACTTATCCATTATTAAGGATACCTAAACAATTTTATAAGAATAATTTATCAAGCTATGCTAATATAAAATAGTATAATATGCATAAAATAAACCAAGACCTCCACAAAATTATAATATAAATTATATAAAAAAAAATATAATAATTATTCAAACTAAAAATAATAATGAGTGGAAGGAGTTAAGCATAACCTAAGTTTAATACCCTGTCTAAGAAATGGAACAATATAGATTTATTAGGATGACAAGTATATTAACATTTACAATGTTATAATTAAAGAGAAAATATGATCATGTTACTTTATTTGTGTTAATTTTTTTTAATATTTTTAAAATGTATTAAATATATCCTAAAATCATAATTTTAAAATGAGATTTATTTAAGTTTGTAGCATTCATTTTAATAAGTCTATTAGGTTTGGATGTCTCATATAATGTTTTTGTCGAGCTAAATTTTAATTTTTTTTATTGAAAATAAGAGAAAAATATAAATAATAAACAGTTAACATATGAGATTTTGATGATAAAAAAAATGATTGAGAGAATCAAAACGAAAATCTGAACCATTATTACTTGCTTTCTATGGCATTATTCTATTGAATTAGCCCTCTTCTATCTTAATTTTTTACATTCTACTCCTATTCTATCTCTCTCCACAATTAATTTCCGGGTGCATTATATTGGCCAATAGTTCTATTATTTTTTAGTTATTTTGAAATTGGGAATTGAACACACACTATGCAGTTTGCGTTTCTTCCTCTTTTGGGTTACTGACTATCTGTCCCAATACTGTACAGTAGCAATTTTCTGCCATGTTTCAAGTACAATATAAATTATTACTTTATTTTTAGCATTCTAAATAATTTATTCATATCATATTAATATTATACTTTTCAATTCCATCGTGCACTGATGGTTATCTCAAATTTTTATTTTTTGTTTCCTAAAGGACGACAGAAGCATTTAGCTGCATTCATGGGAGTTGCGCATGTGTGTGTAAATGATGATATCAAGTGAGATCATAGATGCACTTGTGTGCATGTTAGATTATAAATTATTATATTATTTAAATAAAAAAATAGTGTAAAAATATACAAGGGTTTTGGTAAGCAAATATCCTTCTTAACATGATACATACCAAAATGTTTTTAAAAATAGGGTAAAATAATGAGTTTTAATACGCAAAATGTTATTATTTTTTAGAATTTAAAATTAAAATTCTTAATTTTTTATGTTTGATTTATCACATATATAATATATTTTTTAAGAAATATAGTTTATTAACACAGATAGTGCGTGAAAAATATTTCATTCAACAAATCTTATCAGAATCACTACTTTTTACTATACTACATTATAAATTTATAAGGCTATAAATCAATGATTTCTTTCAGAATTGTGATTTGTTCATTACTAGAGGGGGTTCTCTCTGTATATCTATTTAAGGTCCTATTGGTGAGTTATAATTAATGGATCAATGTATTGACTTATTTTATTTGGACCCAAAATTCTCTAAAGAGCTAGATATCTCAAACAATTAATATAAAAAAATCTCTTTAAAATATGCTAACACACGATTCAGTTCTGGGACAAAATCTGAATCTTGTTCTTGGAAAAACAAGTATTCTGGAGAGTTGTTTGACTCGGCTGATTGGGATTCTCTCTTACAAGGTCTTTCTTCATCCTCCTACTCTTTCATTCTTATTCCTGTTGTAAGTGTGCCTGTTCTTACACTTCTTCTTTGTCCAAGCTTTCTTTTTATTTATTTGTTTATTTTTGCATGTCACTGAAATTTGAAAATTTCTGTTTATTTTCAAATTTTGGTTTCAATTTTTTTTTTAGTTCATGTTTCTCGTCTTTGGTGTTTTACATGACAATTGAATTTTGGGTAAAGAAGAAAGACATACATAGATTAATGCTGTGTGTATGTTTTTGTTTTAGCCTAGACAATTAATTGATTATGTTTTCTTGTGGGTTTAGTGCATTATTTAGCAGGGAAATCAACAAGTTGGAGGAGGAAAATAACTAATAATTT